GCACAAAAATGGCATGCGCACACTCTTTCACTAATCCAGTACACTGCTTTTTTCTCATAAATTAGAAAAATTTCACGAAAATACATGACAATTTTCTCAATCTTTAAACCCGGTAAAAAAACATATATGAATTACCTGATCGCGAAAAAGTATTTACCCTTTACATAAACATTCCACATATAAAATAAATAAAATATCAACAACCCTCTAAATCATCTATTACATTTACATTCACACGAATTCATCGCATCATTACGATACTTAGTATCAAATAAAATATTTCCATGCACGTATTCAACTTAAACGGTACCAAATTCCTACACACATAAATTCACCAAATAACTATCATTTAATTAAAATATACTAAACCAGTACACGTCGACTTATTTTACTTAAAAAAAATCCCAGAATTGCACAAAAGCATTGTGCCACTCTTCAATATATCCATGTACAATGCTTTTTTCTATAAATTAGAAAATTTCACGAAAATACATAATTTTCTGAATCTTTAAACCCGGTAAAAAAACATATATGAAATTACCTAATAACGAAAAAGTATATACCCTTACCAAATGAACATTTTACTAAAAATAGATAAAATATCCAAAAACTTTACCTCTACATTATTTATTATTTACAGTCAACCAACGAATTCATACCGCAAACTTCCAAATACTTAGTGTGTCAAATATTTTAATTATTTCCTCCGTTTACTTTAACTAAAACGTATACCAATTCCTACAAACATAAATTCACAAAAACTATCATTTCATTAAATAAATTAAATTCAAAAAACTACTTTAAAGATAATGGCACATACATTAAATTAATACATACATAAATACCCATTCGAATCACTTTAGTTACGGCCATGGGATCCAAAAAATACGAACATGTTTCACACAAACAGAATAAAAGCAAATACAAATTTCCAAATTTTTTCCCGATTTCCCCCTTTTCCGATTAAAGAACTGTAATTCGTCCATTAATATCACATGACTACCCCATGATCTCTCATTTCCCTCACACAAAATAATGCGTAATTGGAACTGAGTACTGCTCACATTATTACCAAAGTCCCAGGTAGTAACCTTTATCGCCTCCAAAATGTCGCCAAACTACCAGTTACCATATTGTAAAGATCAACCTGAATGTGTTCTTCTTGATTTAATCCTACTTCAAAACCATAGAAAAATCATAGCATTATAATGTTCTTGCGTCAATTCTGTTTTTCCTTCTGCCTAAAATTTATTCTATGCTGATTTGCTTGCAATGGCCAATAAAAAGTTGCCTGTTAGGCTAAAATAGTTCATATTTTCAAATCTAGCTATTAATATTTTTCTACCACTTATCATCTCTGTGTATTTGAAAAATTTCAGAGTGACCTACATAGATATTTATTTTATGCATTAATGTTATATCTTTCTTAATTTTTTAATATTGTAAGCAGCACGATTTAATAAATAAAATTATATAGCAATAAATTTTTTTTTAAAAAACAAGAAATATCCGTTATAAAATATAAGATATTTCTTTTACAAGAAATCCTTATCTAACTTTTTTTAATTGCTGTTTTCATATACACAGTAATTTGTTTCCATTTTAAGCAAAAATCAAAGAATTGCAGAAATTTGGACCATTTAAGAAGTACAACTTCAAAGAATACAAATTTTTGTATTCTGTACTGTTGAGTAAAATGCCATATTTCTGAAGAAATGCCATGCTTTCATCAACTTCCAAACTCCTTGGTCCTATTAAGTTTTTTAGAAGGGAAAAATAATAATCAAAACATTTTGAATTCTAATGCTTAAAAATTGTGCTGCTAGAAATGAAACAGATTAATAGTTATGGTATTTTTTTGTTAATGGAGTACCACTTAGCATCAAAATAAACATTGGCGGGAAATGTAACTGGATGGTCGCAACCCTAATTGAGTTTCTTAAAAGAATGAATTTAACATCTCTAATGGATAATATAATATACAGTGATTCAGAAGTCAAACGACAAAAATCAGCGTTATACCTACAAAAATTTTTCACAGGACTAGTTTCGATGGTTTTACCGAACCATCATCTTCAGCTGCAAAACCGCAAATGAACAATTAATTTTAATTATTATCATTATTTCCTCTTGTTCATTTGCGGTTTTGCACTGAAATGATGGTTCGGTACAACCATCGAACTATCCTGTGAAAATTTTTGTAGTATAAGCTGATTTGTTGTTTGACTTCTGAATTAGTATTTATTCGGTGTGTTATTGTATCTAATAATATACAGTGGTTGAAATTTGTTTTCAGACCCTTGTATTTTTTAATTTATTTGTGTAAATCTAGTACTAAATATGTGGGGTTAGTGCCTCAACGAAGCAACAGATGGTGTTGTCTACATTTACGGTAGAAACCATCCAGGTAAACAGAAGGCACTTAGTATGGAAAGTCAGACAAAAGTGGTCTTGCAGAACGCTCGAGAAGGAGCTGCAACAAGACGCTTACTGGTCGTGCGTAGGCAATTAGACCTGGACTTATCTAAAGTGACCGCACATATGTGGTCAGCTGTGTCTTTTGCCTGTCCATACTGGAACCAGTGTTGTGATTCCTCAACGAAACATACCCAGTTCATCTGTATGTACTTATCCTGTTTACCTTTTCTTCAGTGAACCGGGGAATAAACCCTGATGTTTTGAACAGTGGGTGTGATCTCTATTTAATGATAAAACTTAAATGTTGAAACATAGACTATAATTTTTTTAAGTCCCCCACAAATGTTGAAACATAGACTATAATTTTTTTTTTCTTTATTATGTGATTTTTTCTCTTTTTGAGCCTTGCTTGTTTCAATTCAAAATAATATCATCAAAATATTCTGTGTAATAAAATGATTTGTTCAAAAGTCAGTAACTCGCATAATAAAGAAACAGTTTTTCACAGACGATTGAGTATTTCTCATTAAATTAATTCAGTTCTCACTTTGCGAGAAGGCAAAAATGCATAAAAACTTAAAATATCTGTATTAAAAATTACGAAGTAAATCTTAAATTCTTATTTCCTCGAAAAAATTCCAGAAAGGTTTAAGCATGATTTTATTCGCAATAATAAATGAACACGTTATCTTTGTTGTTGCAAAGCTAAGCTTCTCTATATTGGCAACAAATCCACTAGTCTGCTGTTTCAAATGTCCGCCATCAAAAAAATTATTAGGCTTAGCAGCACTTAAACAACTTTAAAATTGTTGATAATTCTAAAAATATTGCATACAGATTTACTAAAGGGATAAAAACCTTAACCGGAAGATAAGAACAACATAATTCAATCATTTTTAAAGCAAAAATTTACAATTTACAAACATATAAGAGTAAAGAAACTGAGATCACTGAGCCAGGTAACAGAGTGGATATATATATAAATATATTTATATATTTTGGTGCGGCCGATTGCAACCAAAATATAGGTGCACTCTACATTTTATAGCAGTCCTATATACAAAATTTCAACATTCTGAGGCTACTCGTTTTTGAGTTGAAGATACATACGTTCGTACAACCCACCAAAAATTTCTTCAGAATCATTTTAAAGCATTTTAATAATTTTTTTGGAGGAAACGATCTTTTATTCTGTCCATACATACAGAGTCACGCAAAGCTCGTTAAATTGCATTCGATAGCGGTCAAATGGAATTTTCGTTGAAATATGCTGCCTGAAACTTCGCGATTACAATGCTTTCCTTTTACTTCGTACAAGGAAGTAAAAAGGGTAGGGAAGAGAATGTAAGGTTTTAGGCTGAATTATTGAGACTGAAAGAAGATGTAAAGCAGAAATACTCAGAATTATCAAAATTGATTGAACCTGTTTTAATTTGCTACCACAGATTTGTTGAAACTTTATTTAATTATATGGGTGATATTATGCTGGAATAAAGAATATCCTTGAAAAATGATAGCTTAGGTGTTGCACAGATTGAAATATTGTTTATTCTGTTTACCTTATACAGAAGAAAAAAAGGGGAGGGAAGAGAATGTAAGGTTTTAGGCTGAATTATTGAGACTGAAAGAAGATGTAAAGCAGAAATATTCAGAATTAACAAAATTGATTGAACCTATTTTAATTTGCTACCACAGATTTTTTGAAAGTTCATTTAATTATATAGGTGATATGCTGGAATAAAAAATATCCTTGAAAAATGATAGCTTAGGTGTTGCATAGATTGAAATATTGTTTATTATTGCTATACAAATCTACATGTTGGACTTTTGTGTCAGAAAAATCCCTCTGTTAACAATTGGTAAAGGTTTTAAGGATAATTTATTGCATAACTGGAGAGAATTCCAAAATCCTTTACATTCCATGAACTGTTTCCTTCTTTTTGGCAGTTTCTCATATTCAACACCTGTTAATATGCATACTGCAAGTTCTAATCTAATAATTAATTATGTGAAAAGCCATTATCTACATCAAAATGTCTTGCTGAAAATGCAAAATAAAATACTGAATTTTCAACTGTTAGCAAACAAAAATGATAATGTAGCCAGTTGTGTGAACTGATGTAGGGAAATACAAATTCATTTTTAGTAACTTAGAAAGTAAGTTTTGCTTGACCAATAAAATAGTTTGAAAGTATACATGTATCTGAATCAGTATTCTGAATTGTTTGAAATTATGTTAAATTTTTACTGCATAATATTTTTCAGGATTATTAAAAGGGGGTTGCTATCATCTTTGTATTTGAAAATAAAGCTGAAAAGCACAAGTGTCTGAAAACAAATGTGAGCCATTGTATGTAATGTTGAATACGTGTTAAACCAAATTTTTCTCTTAGTATTGTGCACATTAAACATTGTGTAGCTATTCATGATGCTATATAATTGATCTACTATATTTGGCACATATTTGTTGATAGTATCCCGTTAACAGAAAAAGCACCATAATTATTATACTAAAAAATGAAACGATTGAAAAAATTTAGTGTGACTTATTTTGTAAGTTACCATTTTTTTGTTTTTTTCAGATTCAGGTTCCAATGTCTGTTGAATTTGAGGAATTTAATAAATTGCGAGAAAATACTGAAGATAATGTTCCTGAAAGTAAGCTTTATGATTACTTTTTATGAATGCAATAATTTTTATATGTTTGCTTATTTGTAATCTCTTTGAGGAGGAGAAAATGTATTGAATAGCAGTTTATTACACAATTTTCTTTCGTATTCATAATCTGTTTCTTGATGTTATCAAATAGCATAACCTATAATAAGCAATTTTTGTAAAGTTTAAACTAATATGAAAGCACATGTAAAAATGGTATAAGTCTTTGAATATATATCATTTGCAGTTTTACTGCTGTGTATCTTTAAAAATAATATGAAGTATACAGTTGTGATGTTGGTTTTGAAAAAGCATTGTCATACCATTTAAAGTTTCAGTGTTTAAAACTTTTAGTCTGGATTTTTGAATTTCATCGTAGTTAAATCAAATAGTATAAACTCATATTGATATAATTAAAAATAAGCTTACTCCAGTAAATGGAATGATAGTGTCTTATGTCAGAAAATGGTTATTTTGTTTATAATTGGAGGAAAAAGTGTTTATGTAGCTTCATAATAATTAAAAATTTTGGTCCTTATGCTACCCAAGCAGTTTTACATGTCTTCAGTTAAATTATAGATCTTTTTTTTTATTTTTATTTATTAACTATTTTTTTAAACACCTTGGAGGAAGTTTTTCTAAGCTTTTTGTCATTTTCTGTAAATAAATTTAAACGTCGTAGCAAAATTAAAAGTACAAGAATACTACATTTAGCACTGTTAATTGGTTATTCTAAAGTACCGCACTAAATGAATCTACTGTGAGTGAAACATTATTTCTACTGAAAAATTAGTTATTCATTCTTACCATTTTGTTTAAACAAAATATTTAGATTTTAAATAAATTAATGGAAAATAATTAATATATATATAATTGTTTGTATACAGATAAAAAAAAAGAAAACCATTATTTTTTAACAAGAAAATCACTCAAAATTTATTTCACCAATATTTTTTTTTTACTTCTTTGTATGAAGTAAAGGGAGTATTGTAATTGCGAAAAATTTCAGGTGTCGTATTTCAAAGAAAATATCCATTTTAACCGCTCTGAATTACATTTGAATGATGTTTGTGTGTTATATCTGTACGCACAGGCAGAATAAAGGACTCCTTTTTCCAAAACGGATTGTAAAATGCATTTGGGGGGGGGAAGTGGATGACATTTGTTCACATGTCCATATATATTTATCTCACATACTCAAAAATGAGTAGCCTCAGAACATTGAAATTTTGTATATGGGACTGCTGTAACATGTAGTTGTGCACCTCCCTTTTTGGTTGCAATCGGCAGCACTAAAAGTATATAAATATATGTATATGCATACCCATTCTGTTACTGGCTGTAAGTTTTTTTATTCTTATATCAGAGTTGCCAACTCTCCCGATTTAGGCGGGAGACTCCCGATTTTTGACCGCACTCCCGCCAACCCAATTTACAATATATTTCTCCCGACTTTTTCTTATTCTTAATATTTTTCACGATTTTTATGGAACTTAGCTAATACTTCTTATTAACAAAAAAAAAAAAAAAAAAAAAAAAAAAAAAAAAGTGATTTTGGACGTCTGAAGCAACTGATTTCTCTAGATTATATCTAAAATAAAACCTTGCGAATCAGGTGAGAATTTCTGCTTTGTGAGTGACAGCATACGTATCCAGAAACGTCGTTATCCAGTTCTCCAATGGGCATCGAGCTCCACTGCGTATCATCTGGCATATATTCGCCAATGAGCACAAAGCAAGCTCAAGGCCATTGCAAAGAAAATTCTTTGGCCGTTGGGCCGTTATTTCGATGTTCTTTCGTTATTTCGTTCATCTTGTCCTGAGTTGTGTGAGTGCACGTGCCTTTGGGAGAGAGTTTTAGAAATTATCGTCTTTTGTTGTGTCTGCGAGAAAGGTGAAATACTCGTGCACGTTTCAAAAATCGTACACAGTTGACTTTCCTTCCATTATTTCCTCAAGGAAATGTAATAAATTTGCGATGTGTACCGTCTGTCGTTGTGATTTTTTGATTTCGCATGGTGGAAGGGCGGATGTTCTCAAACATATGCGTACACAAAAACACAAGAACAACATGAGATGTTTTGAAAAAAAAAAAAAAAAAGAAGAATTAAATTTTTCTTCGGAAACAAAAGACCAAAAAGTGATTAAGAATGTCTGTTCTCTGCCTTTTTTTTTAGTGGAGCACAACTTGCCACTAAATGCATCGGATCATGCTGCAGCTTTATTTAGAAAAATATTTCCCGATAGTGAAATCGTTAAGAAATACTCAAGTGCAAGGACTAAAACAGGTGCAACTGTTAAAGAAATGGGTTTGAAAAATAAATATTCAGTTATTGATTGCATTAAAACAGCTCTGTTCTGCCTCTCTACTACGGATGGAAGCAATAATACCATTCAAAACTGTATCCAATTGTTGTTTCTTTTTTTTTTAATCCAGAGTCTTCAGAATTGATGCAGTTTACTTTGTGACCCCACTTTAGAAGACTTCGACAGCTTTAATATAGCACAGCTAATTATTAAAACTTTAAAAATAAATGCAGTCCCTCTGGATAATTGCTTAGCGCTTGGTGCCGATAATGCACCATAATGGTAGGCTTGAAGATGGTGTTGCAGGCATCTTAGAAAGGCAAATTCAGATTTGCAGATTATGAGGTGCACCTGTCCCTCTTAATTTAGCAGCTGAGAAAGGGGCAGCTTCTTTACCATTAAATGTGGATGAACGCATTGTTGATATTTATATTATCTTGAAGGAGTTCTAAAAGAAGGAAAAATTGAAACGTTCCAACAGCTGCATAATACTGAAATGAGAAAATTTTGATTTTTGTAATTTCTGCTCATTAGCAATTCAACTGGCAGTTTCTCAAATAATACTGCAAAATATAAGTGAAAGCTAATACAAATTTCTCTTAAAATAAAAAAAAAAAAAAAAAAAAAAAAAAAAAAAAATTGCTCAACCACGAACATTTTCCAATACTCTAAGTTTTCTTGTGAAGAACGAATATTTATGTTTTTTTTTCTTCGGACCTTAACAAGCTTTTTTGCTTTTTTTTTTTTACAATTCATTTTGCCATCATTCGATGTTCTGAACCAATTCTAACAAAGCAGATTCCATTAATTCATGTTTTGCAATCAATGATTTATGATCTTTTAAAGACATTTTTCAAAGTTTGTAAACCAGTCTGTGTTTTGTCTTGTAATTCTATATATGAGTGATTATGGTGAAACAGAAAATCCGAAGGAAAATGAAGATTTGGTAATAGGAACTGCAACTACAAGTAGTGGAAGAACTTCAGAAGAAGACAAAAAGAAGTTTTATCTTCATGTAGAAGTTCTTCTGTCGAGTATGTATTACACACTACATAAATTTCCAGTCACGATGAAGTGATTTTCATTTAAAGTTTGTGATGTTTCTGCTCTAGCAAATGCATCTTTTTTTTGATATAAGGTACTTTTTGAACAGATTTCCTGTGTACTTCTTTAGTCATGAAAGATGATGATATTGATGTTGCTACTGATATACTGCAGTCGCAATTTTGCAGTTTACAATTAGAAACTTGGTGAAGTTATAAAATCAGCTAGGATTGAACACCCCAGTGGAGGTTAATTGGAAAATTGAAAGGTGCTGATGAATTTTAAAATGTAATGAACTCTCTAGAATTATGTTGCCATCTTGACAGTTCCCCATAGTAATGCGGAGTGTGAGAGGATTTTCAGGGTTTTTTGCGAAAACGAGGACTAAATTTAGATCTAATATTAGTGATGACACGTTAAAAAACTTTTATTAGCGAAGCAGGCCTAACGTGGCAATTGCTATGAACAAAATTATGAAGTTTCTTTCTTAATGAGAGCAAATCTGCCACTGTCCATAACATTTGTATGAAAACTGATTAAAGTGCCTTTTTTTTTTTTTTAAAAACGATGAAAGTAATAAAATGTTTTTATGTCTAAGGTATTTTTTGTTTTGCTTGCATTTAAGACTTAGTAACTATTTAAGTTAATTCATTATTAAAAACTATTTTTTATCATTTAAAAAGTCTTTTTAACATTGTGAAAAATCTCCTGATTTCTTAAAAAAATCTCCTGATTTTTGAGTGTCATAGGTTGGCAAGTATGTTATATGTTGGTAAATTGTGTATTTTTTGCTTTGAAAGTTATTGAATAATATTGTAATTATGTCTCGGTTAAGGTTTTTGTGCCTTTAGTTAATCTGCTTGCAATAGTTGTAAAATTGTCAACAGTTTGAAAGTTGTCTAAATTCTGCTAAGCCTAATGATGCCACTATTTGTTTACATTTGCAACTTAGTAGCATATTAAGCCAATTTCTGCAGTAACTTCAGTGTCTTTTTTCCATGTGGGGCAAAAATTTTGTGCACTGAAAAATATGTTTTTCTTCCTAATTTTAATTAATTTAAATTCTAATTTTAATTGTAAAAATTGTTTTTTTTTTAAATAGTTTCTAACTTTTTTTACTTTGAAATTTAAGGTTTTTTTGTATTTTACTATTTTTAACCTTCCAGAATGCGCGTCATGCGCAAAGTTTACGACAGATTCAATTTTTAATGCACATATTTTGCATATCAAAGCTGGAATGTCTGAAAGTAATTTCTTTTTCTCCTTTCAACCCTTCCCCACATCATGGAATGTGAAAACAGAAAGTCGTATGGCTTCATTTTACTAGGCTTTTATGCTACGTGGCAGCTACTTCGTAAAAGTTACGACAGGTGTGTGGTCGCAGAGGAAAATTCGGAAAATATTTTTTTAAAGTTCTTTGTAGTTTTATGTTATTAATTGGCACATATTATTTTAATTTGTATAAATTAGACTCAATAATTTTTATATTGGTTTTCCTGGAAAAAATATATGTGCAACTAGTTGATTTTGCTCGCATTTTTCAAGATAAAGGAAAAGAAGATAAGAAAAACTTTGTATGCAAGAACAATAGCGATTTGAACGAGGAAAATATAGAAATAAATAATATCAGCAGTGAATCTGAATAATATATTTTGGATGATAATGATGATGATGATAATGATAATGATGATGATAATGATACTGATGATGATATGTTCTGTGTTGGTAATGATAAATATTCTAATTTATTAGTCTTATGAAAGAGCATTTTCATTTGTGAAAATCTAAACACTACCTTCCGACATTTCAATATTTTTAAGTCGTGCAATCTAAACACTACCTTCCGACATTTCAATATTTTTAAGTGCCAGAGCAATCCTCATCGAAATGAGGACCATGCAGTGTAAGTGTCAGAAAAAATGAGATCATCAACATCTATGAAATGCAAGACATGACTTAGATACACATGCAAAATGTCATTTTACTACCGAAATTCTTTGCATGGAATGCAGTGAGAAATATCTCACTGCACAAAGGCATCCCTCCACAAAGGCATCCCTCCTCTTGGGCAGGTAGTCCTCATGCACTTTGTCATAATCAAATAAACCAAACTAATCTTCAGTCAATTCATATGCTTTTTCAGTGGTATTGAATAATTCTTCAAAATTTATTCAATGTGAAGTTTTCTTTCTGTTTGCACATTTCCGTTAATTTAATTTTTTTTCCTTCATAAGCCTTCATTTCTTCTTCTGTGTCAATGAGAGATTCATCATCAAGAGGCTGAGATTCCGTCTAAATAAAGCCCATGACACTAGTGAGTCAAAGCCTTTATCATATCCAAGTTTCATGACTTCTGCTGAGATTGTATCCATCTGAAAATCAAAGCTTTAAAAATCATTTGTGCAGCGAGGCAAAACTTACCTCCATAAGCTTCTCATATTATTTTCACTTACTTGATTCCATGCATTTTTGGTATCTCCAACAGCATTTCAGATATTGTAATTTTTCCAAAATGTGGTCAAAGATTTCACCAGAGATTGCTCCGACTTTTCTGTGAAAGCATCCTTCTCAAATAAAAAGTCTTAAATATTGAAATAACCCCTTAATCCATGGGTAGCATGAAGATAGTATATGAGGGAAGAAAATGAATTCTGACATTATTGTAACGATGTGAAAGTCATGTTACTTGATATCATTATTGCATATTATTGCTAATAAAATGATGCTTCAAGGCTATGTTTTATTTTTCACAATAACTTTTAATGAAGGAGAAAAATAATCTTTAAACCAACTTTTAAACACTGCTTTTATAACCCAGCCTTTCTTATTAATTTATTATTTAGCCAAAATGCAGGTAATAAGTTTTTAGCACAGCTCTTTAAAGTAGAAGGGTTTTCAGTGAGATACTCAAGCATGGGCAGTTTGACATCACCAGATGCATTTCTTCTTACAGTAAGGTAATTTTATCATATAATGCTGTATAGCCTGGAGGAGATTACTCTTTTTCTGATAAATAAGTTCTAGAAGGCAGCTTCTGCCAGTATTACAGTATAACCTAGTTTTGTCCATGTTAAAAATTTATTTGTTAATGTAACCTTCTTCTTCAATAATTTGTCTTATTTCTTCTGGGAATTTTGACACTGCTTCTTTATCTTCACTTGTGTTTTCTCCCACAAAGCAAACGTTATGAATCGCTGAGTGTTTTTTAAAGTGAAAGATTCATCCGTGGAGTGCTTAAAATTTTTTTTTATCAGTTTTGTTTTCAGACTGTTTTTCTTTCAGTGTAGAAACAAGAATTGATGCTTTTATTTGAATATTTAGTTGACTTAAGGGGATTCTTTTTTGGTTACCGTCCTCGATCCAAGCAAAAGAAGTCTTGTCATCAAAGGACTTCTTTGTCTTACAGATTTTTATATTTCTGTTTATTTTTCGTAACCTTTCAGACTGAAAACTCACTTATTTTTTCATCTTTTGAAATCTTGGCATATGATATAGGATTCTTAGGAATTTTAATTATTTCTAGCTTGTTTCTTGTAAATTCAATAATTTATGTTTGTTTGGTTTATCGCAGCTAGTATTAGGTTTTTGTTTTTCATTCATTTTAAAGGGGTTTAGGAATGAATTATGAATAAAAAATTTTTAAAAAGGAATGAATCAGATGATGAGAATGATAAATAATCATGTAATATAGCTATTGCAGAGACTGAGGGCAAGTTTGCTCTGCCTCTTGTGCTGATCAATCAGCACCATTCATTTTAGCAGGAACATTTAGGGTAAATTATTTTGGCGCAAAATCTTTCTGAACCACGCAAGAGTAAATCAATCAGTACTGAGTGAAATTTGTTACTCATATTACTAACCGTACTATAGTGGGGTCAGCACTGAGTGAAATTTATTACTCATATTACTAACCGTACTATAACAGGGTCAGCACTGATTGAAGCCAATTAATTGAAACAATACAAGCTATTTCTGTATTGTTGCTCGAGGGAAATACTTGTTGTAAGCCTTATGCAAGAAGTCCAGTGAAATAAATCCGCTATGTCTTAAATATTTCTTGTTCCCCCCTCTCCAATAAGTGTGTAGACTCATGTAATACTGAATTGAAAATTCTTTAGACCCTGTTAAATTGCCAAGTCAGTTATCACTCTGTCTGTAAAGGTACTATGAAGTCCTATGAAGATTTTAAATAAATTTTTTATTCAAATTTGAATCTGATGGCAGGCACAACTTGGGTGCATAATCAAACTCCATCTCTTGTAGATATTTAAAAATATAAAATTGAAAATACAATACAAAATGGATTTCTAGAGTGGGACTACACAAGTTTTCCTAATTGAGCATTGGCTCAAACTGGATGGTACAATTGAATTTTGGCTATAAAGATAGTGAATGCCAGAATACTAATTGGCAGAGCTGGACAAAAGAAAGTAAAGCTGCAAGAGTTGCTCCCAAAAGCTCTAAATCTAAAACATTCAAAACCCTTACTTTAAATAGTCTTAACTCATTTATATCCTGGTGAGGGCTAGTGGAAAAGAGAAGTTATTGTACAGATCTAAAACTTAAAAATGAGTTAATTAACATAAAATTTATGAGTGAACAAGTATGATGATGTTATATCAAGTTCTTTTTCCCATACCATTTGGCACTGTTATTTTTAACAGCTTGTTTTAAATATATGATTTTATGTTTTCTGTTTTGAGTTCTAGGAGGATTAATTCTTAAACTAGTAAGCTAATCATAATTTGTCTGCTTAAAATTATTTGAGGTGTTAATCTATAATCAACATGCGATTAGAGCAGGGATTCTTAATCAGGGGATAATGTGGTCAGCCGTTTATTTACCTGTTAAGTATATAGTTTATGAATATGGAAAACTGCATTTAATCAAGTTTCAGCATTTTTTCTTGCTTAATTATAAAACACATTAAGAATCATCTGAATCTAACTAAATGTTTAAATGTATTTCTCGAGTTTTAGAAACAAGGGAGGAATGATCTTATAGCAATGGTGAAAGAGCTTGTAGGGCAAAAAAAGATTGAGATTCACTGGATTACATTGTTAAAGCTGTAACCTAGAATCGGTATACAAAAGTTACATTGCATTATTTTGAGAGAAAAGAATTTTTCAATTTTATTAACTTTTTGAGGTGTTTTACTTTAATCTGGAATTTTCAAATTTTAATTTAATTTTTTTAGCATATTTTAATTTATGTTTGCAGATATGACAGATTTCACTGATGAAGAAGGTTATGGAAAATTTCTTGATCTACACGAGTGCTATGAAAAGTATCTTAACATCAGAGGTGTTGAGGTAAATTATATCATATTATTTAATCGTACCATCAGAATTTTTTCAGATAAGTAAACTTTAGAAAGTTTAGCCTTAATTAATTGTAATATATTTTTATCTTTATGTAGCATTTCATGTAATATTTTTAAATTGGAATTTACCATGGCTTATAAATCATCATAATTCATGTTAATTAAATGAGAAAAGGATAATAGTTTGATAACAAGCATAAAAATTCACGTTATTTGGTATGAAAAATGAAAACAGTTATTTTACATATGTACTCTTTTTTTTTTAATTTTAAAAAGTAGGTTAATGTTGTATTTTCATTATTTTCTTACAGAGAGTTGACTATTTAACATATCTATCAATGTTTGACCAACTTTTTGACATTCCAAAAGAAAGAAAAACTGCTGACTACAAAAAGTAAGTAAAGTATATTGTCTAGACCAGTGATATTCAAACTTATGACAGTCTGACCTCATAAAAATACAAATAACTCCAGAAAATAATTTTGAGACTTCAATCAGATCATTAACCATTAAGTTACATACCATCAGTTCAGATTTTTTAGAATTTTTATCTGTCTGGCAACTTCGTTATAAATTTTCCCCATTTGAGGTCATGACTCACAGTTTGAATATCGTTGGCCTGGATCCAACTTCAGATCCAAATCTATGCAACCTTCAGATATCTTCTATAATACCTTCAGATACAAATTTGTGTAAAACATTGTAATTTTTATGTATACAGTTGTAAAATGGGCAAAATATATGTAGTCTGTAAGAAATGATAGTCTACGTAAAAATTCACGTCAGTTATTGTGAAATATGCTATCAAAGTGTTCTTATATTCTTCTTTAACCCCTTTCTTATGATGAACTAAATGTATAAAGATGGTGTTCTAAGCTTTTAGTTTTTATTGATACAATATTGCTTATTCTAATCTGAAATGAAAAAAGTTACTGTTTGGAATTGACATCAGTTACTTAATTTACTAAGTATATCAAACTGAAGAAGAAAAATGCCAACACAAAATTTAAAAATTAGATAAAAAGGCAACTTTAAAATTATTCAAAATCTACACTAAACTAAAATTGCCACCCCTTTTAGTCTTAATTTTAAATCAGTATGCATAATTTAATTTTTTCAACAATAATTTATTCTACTAAGCATTTTCCCCCTTTCCCTCTTTTATAATGTATCATTAAAAAAAAAAAAAAAAAAAAAACTTTCACTATGTTTTATATTGTATTTATATGCATTTAAAGGGGCTAATTTGAAATTAATCCCCCTTCCCCCAATAATCCCTAGGAATTATTTTTGGTTTTTAAAATTAGAAATAATGCATATAAGGTTAAAACAAATTATATGTTATTATACATTTGCATATTTCTGTTATTTAAAATGCACTGTACTGTTCTGTTATAAGGACCAGATTTAGAAATGTGTGTATATGTGGATGTATGTGTTCATGTATTCATGTATATATGTTCGTATGTATGTGTGTATATATATATGTCCATATGTATGTATGTTTATATATATATATATGCATGTGTGTGTTATACATACACACATATATGAACATACATCCACACATATGCACATTTCTGAATGCAGTTCTGATAACAGAAGAGTACCAAATACTTATTGATCTTTTGGGTTTTTCCTTGCAGCACTTATTACAGCTATTACATCATTGTTTGATAAGGAATGTATGTGAAGATTATTATCTGGGAAGAGATTTCACCATTCATAATATTTGCAGTTTGCATTAATTTACAGCTATTACATCATTGTTTTATAAGAAATGTATGAAAAGATCTGTGAAAAGATTTCACCATTCACAGTTTTTGCATTTGTATTAATGCTTTGTTTAAATATATCAGGTGTCCTATAAATCTGCAAATATTTAAAATATGTATACAACTTGAAGGAATTGGTAGAGCTGAATGTGGTTTGCAAAATGTTTTTCTTATGAAGAGTTAAAATTTTTGTCGATAGAGCACACTGCACAGGAACAATAACAAGAAATATGCAAATCAGAGTCAGAAATTGCAGGACTTTACGATTTTGGATTTTTCTTTCTACTTGCTTGTGCATGAAGTTTTCATTGGTATAAAGTTTTGAAGAAAGAAAGAGTTGGTGTCATCACCCTAATAATGGTGCACCAAGTTTATTAGAGGTCCATACTTCCAATGTAGCTGCACATATAGACACTCTAAGGGAACAGTCAATAAGTGCAGTGAATACCACACGAGAAGTGGCGCAAAACATTGGTATATTGAAGACGTTGATATTCTGCATCCTTCTTGATGTTTTAAAAGTGTACTCCGACAAGTTTCAATCATTACCACCTGTTATCAAATGACAAAGCTAAGCAATATGAATTTGAAAATTGAGGATGATCCATAATGGCTTCTTATTATATTATAGGAAGATGAGACTCATTTTTCATTGCATGGAACAGTCAACACCCATAACTGTAGAATTTAGGCAAAGGAGAACCCATGTGCCTGTATGGAGAAGCCCCTGCATTCATGTTTAGTTGTTTGGTACAAATTCACGGTGTCCATTATTGTAGGCCCTTTTTACTTTCTTGTACAAAGTAAAAAGGAAGTATTGTAATCTCGAAAAGTTTCAGGCCGCTATTGAATTTGATCGCTATCGAATGCAATTTAATGATGTCTTTGCGTGACATCTGTACGTAAGGACAGAATAAAAGACTCTTTTTCCCCCCAAAAAAAATTATAAAACCTGATTTAAAATGAATTCTAAAGAGAATTTTTCGTGGCGTCTGTGCGCATGTACGTATTTCGCATAACTCAAAAACGAGTAGCCTCAGAACATTGAAATTTTGTATATAGGACTGCTATAGCTTGTATATGTGCACCTCATATTTTGGTTGCAATTGACCACACCAAAAGTATATAAATATATGTATATATATATCCACTCTGTTACCCGGCTCAGTGATCTCAGTTTTTTTTATTCTTATGTGTTTATAAATTGTTCATTTTTTGCTTTAAAAATAATTGAATTATGTTGTTCTTATCTTTCGGTTCAGGTTTTTGTGCCTTTAGTAAATCTGCATGCAATATTTGTAGAGTTAATAACAATTTAAAAGTTGTTAAAGTGCAGATAAGCATAAACATGGTGGCCATGTTTTTGTACATTTGAAACGTGGCAGAACTTGTTGCCAATCTAAAGAAAGTAAGCTTCGCCACAACAAAGATAACACCTTCTTTTATTATTGTGAATTAAGTCATGCTTAATCCATTCTGAAATTTATTTGGGGAAATAAGTGTTTTTAATATATATATATATTCTATAATTTTTAATTTTAAAGTTTTTGTGTATTTTTGCCTTGTAGCAAAGTGAGAACTAAATTAATTGAATGAGAAATACTGAATCATCTGTGAAAAACTGATTCCTTTTTTGTTTTGTTTGTTTAATTTCTTTTGTACATCATTTTAGATTTATTATAGTATTTGAATAGAACATGTGGCAATGATTAGATAATTTTTCAAATTGATATAAATTTTGTGCATTTTGAGTTACAATATGAATGCAATGTAATGCTGTTAAGTGAACCTAGCATCAGAGTGTCGCTATGATAATCAAATATAGTGAATTTTAAAGAGTGCATTTATTCTATTGTGGTTTATGTGCTATCAACGAAGTAGATTTAATTCAATCCAATTAGTTTAAATGAAGTGCATATAATTTAGTGTTCCATAGAAGGATGTCGTGGTGTACACATCAGATTTTTTCTTTGAAGAATACTGTGCAAAAGCAGGCAGGAACACCTGCTCAATTACTGGAAAACATTACTTACAACTACTACAGGTGAAAGCAATACTGCTCTGTTGAAACATAATGCCCTTGATACAGTGATGTTCATGCTAGATGGGCCACCTTCTCTTATTAACACCATTTGGTTTTCGTGTTATGTCAAGTTCAGAGTATACCTCAATAGCTTATCTTCTTTGGTGTAGTTAAAGGATGCCATTTGCCACAAAATCTCCTGCATCCATTCAGATATGCTACCTGCTGCAGTTAATGGTGTTGTCACTCAGTTCAAACTGTTATTTGTGGTGATGGTGGACACATAAAATAAGAGTGATATGCTTGTAAACATTTGTCTTCATGCAAATAAATATAGTTTTCCATAGAAATGCGAGATTTGCTCCTGTTCAGCACCCTCTATTGAATCCTTCAGCACCTTCAATGAAAATTTTAACTATTTTTTCCCTTTAAAAAAAAAAAAAAAAAAGAAAAACCCTCTTTCATGAGAATAAGTTTTTTGAAAACTATATTCAGTTCTATCAATTCCTTCAATTTGTAGTATTTTAAAAATATTTATAGACTTAAAAAAAATAAATTATTTCCAAATTTCATATTTTTGCCTCTCTCATTTTCTCTCTCTCTCTCTCTATATATATGTATTAAAAAGCTTTAGGTAATTGGTTTTCCAATTTATTATTTCACTGTTTTTTCTGCATTTTAACATATTGATTAAGTAGCACTTTATCTGAGCAGAATATTATTGCATATATAATTGGCTTACCGTGAATTGGTACACTGTAATATTTTTAGTTATCCAAGGTTTCATCTGGTTGGCAGCTAAGGGGCATTACTCCTTGGAATGAATGGAAGATTTAAAACTGAGAGTGATAAATTAAAAAAAATTGCAGTAGATTTCTGGTTTAGGCAATTCTTATAAGTCTTTCTAAAAAATTTTGAGCCTCAGTTTATATTAAATAGTATCTCATTTTTATTTTGTAGGTATCTTGAAGCTGTTCTGGAGTATCTTGAAGATTACTGTTCTCGTGTGAAGCCACTGTTGGATTTAAATGAGGTAGGTTCTTAAAATTTGATAGTTAGTGATTTCTGTTTTAGAATATTTTGGTTTGTTGATAGTCATCAATATAGTTAGTAATTTATGTTATTACTATCACAAATATAAACTTTTATAAGCTTCTGATGGTGTTATTTCTCGTTTGTAGGAAATGGAAACAGTCTTAGTAGAATTTGAGAAATTGTGGGAACAAGGAATGTTTCCTGGTTGGCATGTAAGTGCCTTTAAATTTGGCAAAACTGTACTGAATTTTTATAATTGCATTTTTTCTAATTAATTACGTTAGTGGACAGATTCATTTTTTACTTCCTTGTACAGAGTAAAAAGGAAGTATTGTAATTCCAAAAAATTTCATGTCTCATATTTAAACGAAAATATCCCTTTTGACCGCTATTGAATGCAATATAACGATGTTTTTGCGGGATGTCTGTACATAAGGCCAGAATAAATGACTCTTTTTCCACAAAAAAATTATAAAACTGATTTGAAATGAATTCTGAAGACTTTTTTTTTTTTTTTTGTGACGTCTGTACGTACGTTTGTATTTATCTCGCATAACTCAAAAACTAGTAGCCTCAAAATATTGAAATTTTGTATGTAGGACTCCTATAACATGTAGATGTGCACCTCCTATTTTGGTTGCAATTGGCTGCACCAAAAGTATATTTATGTGATGATACGGCAGTCATGGCACATGAATGATGAGGCTTGGCATCAAAGTCCAGGTCCAAAGAGGACACAGGATTTTACTTTTTACTATTCCATATCTTTATTTCAATTTCAGAAGCAGATCAGTATGCGTTACTAAATAAGATTACTTTAAATTTATGCGTCATAGAGGAAAGGAAGATGGGAGCAGCAGCGTAGGTTCTAACACCACAGAGAGAGAGAAGCTTCTGTCTGCAAAATGGCGCACATTCGTTATTTATAGTAGCGGTTATGTAATAAGCTCGAATGTTCTAGGGGGGAGATCTTAAATTGCGGAAAGTTAATTAGAGGTTGCCTGTTCGCGTAGAGCAAAGCCATCATATTTTTCATCTCCTCCCCCTTGAAATGAGTACATTAGTGAAGCCAGAAGTATGAGAAAAAAAAAAAAAAAAATTCAGGACATAGCTTACAGGCTTTAACTATGTCTTATCATAAATCATGATCTTTTCTCATATAATTATAAAGTTTTTGAATTATACAATTTTAAAATGATTTATAAATAAACATGTAACTAACTTTTATATGGAAGAATAATAATAAGTAAATTACAAGCATAAAAGTCCTGAATTTTTCTCAAAATGTACATTAAACAGTCCTTTTCCTCGAATGAAGATACTGGTGAAGTTTTTTGATGCCAGTAAGTCAGCTTATTTTTATCTTGTGGAGTAATAAGTTCACAAATATTATGCACTTTTTCCAATAAATATGATTCAGTAATAATTTTTGAATAGAATATGTTTAAAATTTGTTTTTGTGGTGGACATTTTTTTATAAAGCTTAGAAGATATACAATTTATGAATAATGTATTACGTGCATTCATTTTTCTCATCGTAGGTAATTAACAATACGTTGACATATTTTAAAATAGTTTAAAAATTCACTTCAAAACATTATGATGTAATACCTTAAAAATAATTCAATATAAATTTCTAGTGATATAATGTAATATTTCATAAAACAATAACACCTTGAATAAAAACTTTGCCATGTCCTCTCCAACAGATCAGCATGACTAGCTTGCTGATGGTTGGGGGGTACTAGATACAAAATATCAAAAAACCTCCATTCCCTAGTAAAAGATAACTGGTTTTTGGCATTGTACATTGTATCAAAGTGTTTTTGTAAAAATACAAAATCTTACAAAATTAAAATTTAAGACAAATAATTTGTATGATCAAGTTAAAGTCTTTGATAGAAATTTAGAAACTAGAAATGAATATTACTCTACAACAAGAAGAAAGAATAAAATAATTGTTACAAAATAGTGTAAAATTATGTGTTTATGTGTGTGTATGTGTGGGTATGTGTCAGCACGTCTGTGCTAAACTGTGGTCAGAGGATCGTGGCTGGTATGAGAAAGTATACAAAAACCCAGGCCAGTTTCAAGACCATAGCTGACTCTCCTATCAAAATTAAAATAAAAAGATAAAAATTTTGAGGGAGGTGTTAGGAACCTAGAGGGATGTTGGGCGTTTGCTGTCACTTCTTACTTCCTCTCTAAAGAGAGGACGGAAGAAGTAATACACATAGTGTGATATGTTGTGTCGAAAACAGTTTGGCATACACTTTCATCTTTATTGAAAATCTGGTATGAGGGCCAGATTTTCAATGATGCAATGCACAAAGTGGATCAGTGCAATGCAAAAGGAGTTAGAGTTTTTCCTCAAGGGGGCCCAAATTTCGAACAGAAAAACTCTGGGGAACAAGGAAAGGCAGGAGAGGAGAGGAGCCAGACTGGGAAAAGGTCAAGATCGGGAAAGTAATTTGTCATAGTTAGGGTTTAAAGTTTAAATCAGGTTTTAAATGTCATGATCAGGAAAAAAATTTTAATAAAGGTAATTTTGGAAAGTTAAAAATTAAATTAATTTTGCACAGAAACTGGAATTCTACTATTTCTAACAGTTAATTTAAATTCACTTGCCAGATTAAAAGGTCCTGAGTCTGGTTGAATGTACAATTTCTGATTTCTTTTTAGTTAGAGGATTAGGTTTATCAAATTCAAAAGTAACTTCAGAATATTGTTTTAAAATTTTGTAAGGTCCTGAAAATGGAGGAGAAAATTTACGTGCATTAGGATATTGAAATTCTTCATACATTACTAAATCACCTATTTTAAAATTACTAGGTTTAAAATGAGTATCATATCTTTCTTTATTTACAGTAGGATAATCATCAGATCTTTTTTTCTATCTTCTTCTATCGGTGGATATAATTCTTGATTTTGAATTAAGGAATCATAAGGTAATTTTCCATACATTAAGTATGATGGTGGGAATTTTGTTACAGAATTGAGGGGTGTTATTATATTCTTCAGTTACTTGGGGTTAATAATTTTCTCTATGCAATATTACTTTGAATAAGAATTTAGCTTACATTTTAATCTAGTTATAATTGTTTGATTAACACGTTCAATTTTACCATTAGTTTGGGGTCTATTTGCTGTAGTCAATAATTGTTTTACATTATGATTCCTTAAAAAGTGTTTAAATTTTGAAGATGTAAAAGCAGCATTCCTATCACTTAAAATTTTTTTCGGTACCTGAATTTGAATTGAAAAGTTTGTCGTAAGCAATTTATATAAGAATCAGTAGTTACACTTTTAGAAGCAAAAGACCAGATGGACTTGGTTGAATGATCAATAATTATGTGAATATACATTTTAGTAGAATTATTATAATTTAAACCACTGACACTATCAATAGACAATATTTCAAAAGGTTCACTGCCCAATGGTAAATTTTGCATTAAACCAAATTTCTTTTGTTTACTTTTCTTATTAAGCTGACATACTTTACAATGTTTGCAATCATTTTCTAACATCTTGAATAATTCATGGCTAATAATATTGAAGAGGTAATAAATTTAGCATTGAGAACACACCAATATGACCAAATTGTAGATGTGCTTTTTCAAGTAATTTAGTACAAAGAGACATGGTAATTACAATTTTATACAGTCCTTGTTTTTTTTAATAGTTAGCACATCATTCATTTTCTTATATTTAGGATTACAAACATTGTCTAAATTTTGATATTCTTTTATTTCTTCTAATGATAATAAATTAACTTGCAGTCTTAAATGCTGACAAATAGGATTTCTAGATAGCATGTCAGCTTCAACATTAGTGGATCCTTTTTTATACTTTATATCAAAATCATACATAGATATTTTTAAGACCATCTAAATAGACGACCTGTAGGGTGTATTATATTTTTTTAGCCAAACTGAAGCAGCATGGTCAGTATGTACAGTAAAATGATTACTATGCAAATAATAATAAAATTTATCAATTGCGTCAATAATAGATAACCATTCCAGCTGAGTAATTGCATAATTTTGTTCGTTAAGATCTTAATTTTCTAGAATGAAAAGCAATTGGATGTAAACTACCATCAGGATGTTCTTGTTTTAAAACTACTAGCAGCTTCTTTAGAGGCATCAACAAAATACATGACAAGGATATTTAGGATTAAACAAAGTTAAAATAGGTCTAGAAACTAATTCATCTTTTTATTTTTGAAAAGCTATTTGACATTCATTAGTCCATTTATAGGGGGTATCGTTTTTGAGTAAATTAGTTAAGGAGCTGTAATTTTAGTATAATTTTGAATAAATTTATGGTATACATTAATACTTCCTAAAAATATCTGCAACTCTTTGACATTTTTAGGGGGTTGCAATTTCTTGATAACCTCTATATTTGCATTACTATGCTATTTTTTATCTGCTTGAATTTCATATCCTAGAAAATTTATTTTTTCTTTAGCAAAATTACATTTAGATTGTTTTAATTTTATATTTTCTTTCTCACATATATCAAATATTATTTTAAGATGGTTTAAATGTTCCTCAAAATTTGGAGAAAATACTATAATATCATCAAAATGATTTAAAGCAAATTGAATCTGATATTTATTTAAAATTTGTCTAAGAGCTCTTTGAAAAACAGCTGAGGAATTCTTCCAACAAAAAGGAAGTCTAGTAAACTCATAAAATCCAAAATTTGTTGTAAATGCTAATTTTTCAGTATCTTTTTCATTTAATTTTATATACTAATAGCCTGATGCTAAATCCAATGTAGAGAAAATTTTTGCGTTTGTTAATTGATCTAATACAACATCAGTTTTACGAATGGGCTCAGAATCAGTTTTTGTAATTTGATTAAGCTTTCTGTAATCAATACATAATCTAGTTTTTGCCTGTTCATCACGCTTATAAGCTAAAGTACAGGAGCAGCATAAGGACTATAAGAGTGTTTTATGATTCCAGCATTTAACATTTTTGTAAGTGTAACTGAGAAAAGAAGCCATTTTGCTAACTGAATTTTACAAATAAAAAATTGGTTAATTTATATTTAATTTTGACAGAAATAAAATTCAACATTCTGCAAAGTCACTAAATGTATACTATTGGTCACAAAACTGATATTACAGTGATGTTCTTTTCAAAACTATGATAACAGCTTGTCACTTGAAATGTGTTAAATTAAGTGGTTAATTTATCACATAGTAATGCACCAGTAGTAGAAGCCATATAATTTCAGTTTCAGTTTTCAGTAGATGAATAGATTTTATGGATTTCTACATGTGTGATGTAAATGCAAGCCATTTCTCCTTGGAAATATTCAGTGAAGGCATTCATTTTTTAAGCAGATAGTCCTTTCATTCTTTGGGCCCACCAGCAGTCGAGTGGTAACATCTCTAAACGCTGGTAGTTCGGTCTGAGGTTCATATCCCAAGAATGGCTGGCTGCATCGTTTTTCTGGTTTTCTCCATGTGTAACATGTATATTTTATGATATGAAATGGATGTTATATCTTCAAAATAAAACTAATGACTTCTGTGAAATCTCCAATTCTCATTCCTGTAGTTCTTTGCCTGCCTTAATGATCAACACTTTTTTCGAAAAGTAGATAAAAGTGTACAGTGTTGGATATAGGGATTTTGCTAATTTTCAAATAAAATTACTTTTTGTTATTTGGAAATTTTATGAATTTAATAAAGTTGGTTAAGTTTTCTGCCGTGTGTATTCATGAATCATGAATTTAGTTTAGAATTATAATGTTTTATTAATCATGAATGATTTCAATAAAGTTAAACAATACTTTATTTATTTTATAACATTTGCATGTTAGAATTATATATAGGTAAATAATTTTTTAAAAAAGAAGAAGACGAAAAATATATTATTTTCCTTATTTGAATATTAATTAGATTCTTTTAATTTTACTCTGTAGAAAGAAACTGAAAGTGCATTGACACATGCTGGTGCTCATTTGGATTTATCTGCTTTTTCTTCTTGGGAGGTATTATTACTTTGATAAAAATTAGGATTTCATTTTTGAATTTTATGAAATATAATTTTAAGATTCGTGTTATTAGAAATCAGAAATGATTGTATAATTTTATGTTATAGGAACTGGCATCATTGGGCTTGGATAGGTTAAAGTCTGCTCTTATGGCTCTTGGTTTAAAGTGTGGTGGGTAAGTTTCTTATTTTATTACAGAATGTATTTTCTGATAAAATTTTTCAGGACTGCTATGAATTATAAAATCACACACATAGTAGAATCATTAGTTTTTTGGAAGGGAGCTGGAGACGTGAAAATTGTGCAGTGTCCTCATTAGGACTTGAAACCTAGACCTCTCGAATATGTATCAAGTATGCTTCCAGTTACACCATAAAGACGTGGGAAAGGAGGGAGAAAATACCTTATATGCTCCCTAATACTAATACTTCTTATATACTAAGGATTGCTCATTTTGCTTATTTTTGCTGATACTTTGAATTAAAATAAAGGTAACTGTGGGAAATAATAAATATAAATAATATAGTAATAATTATGAAATTCATAATATATATTACATTTTATATAACAGAACACTGGAGGAAAGAGCACAGCGCCTTTTTGAGACTAAAGGAAAGAAGCTCAGTGAATTGGATCCTACCGTATTTGCAAAATCTAAACCTGGCAAAGCTGGTCGGCATAAAGACATCGAAAAGCAGAAAGAAATAGCTATTTTAGAAGCACAGTTATACAGACTAGTTGAGATACTTTCTGTAAGTAAAAGTCGTAAGTGCTTGTTTTGTATAATATTTAGTAAGCATTATCATTTATTGGATGAATTCAATGTGAAACTTTATTTGCTGATAAACATAGGTTTTCATTTTGCTTTTTCTCATAATCTAAAAATTTGGTATTTGATTTTTTTCAAAGCCTTTGTGTATTTTTATTATATACATAATGTTATTCATCATTTTATTATTATTTATTTTCTAGGAGCAAAGACAAGCCACAAAGGAGAATGTTCAGAGGAAGCAAGCAAGAACAGTAGGAGAAAGAGAAGAATCTGACAATGAAGCATCTGAATCAGAATCTGATGATGAAGATGATAATGATGTTATTTACAATCCTAAGAATTTACCTTTGGGTTGGGACGGAAAGGTAGCACATTCCTTATCTTATGCTTAGTTTGCAACATGGCTGTCTCTCACCATATTTCTGGATGTTGATCAAAGAAACTGTATTTAAAAAAAATCATGCAAAGTTAGCAGGTCAATGCTATAGTTTGTATTGAAGAGTCATTTATCATCTGGTGGAACAACTAATTTTTAATGCTCAGTTTTATATCATTCACCTTTTATTAATATTTAAAATAAAAGATTAAAAAGTGAAAAAGTTGAGAGTAATTACAGACAACAGTTTTCTTTGGAAAATAATTCCAAACTGAAAACATTGTTCCCCCCCCAAAAAAAAATGACAAATCAGGTGGTAGTGCTTGTGTAAGTGATTGATGCACCACCAGTATTTCAAGGTTTATACTTTTACCTTAAAGCCATCAAAGTTACTGATAACAGTATGAATTTCAGAAATGCTTTTCTAATAAATTTGTATTTTTAACTAAGTACATGCATTTTCATATTTACTTAATAAAAATGCTCTTAATAGATATTTGTATATAAGTAATGCCAAAAAATGTATAATCTATTAATAATTAGTTTTTAAATACTTTTAAAAAGGCTTCAAAATGTTTAAACATTTTTTTAAACCATGTTTATATGTTTGCTATTTTACCTGAAACAATAAAGTTAAGCAATTGCATAATATTTGAAAATGAGAGTTGTAACAATATTTTTATGCAAATTATTGCTGTGCAAAGAGCTTCTGATATATTTTAATATATTGTATTGATTTTTATAGCCTATTCCATACTGGTTGTACAAGCTTCATGGTTTGAATATCACATACAGCTGTGAAATTTGTGGAAATTTCACTTATAAAGGCCCAAAAGCTTTTCAGCGCCACTTTGCTGTAAGTAATATTACTCAGTTGTAATTGAGGTATTACTTGCTACCACAGCCAAAATTAAAAATTTAAATGCTTTCCTTAGATTTATATTTTATTAGTCTTTCTCTGCAGTTGTGTGTCTTTGATAACTTCAGAGTAACTTGCTATCAGTTAATTTAAGGGTACTTTTCCATTTTGCCAACGTAAGCGATAGAGTCGCCGAAAATGGTACAGCCGATGCCAAACAGAATATCCTTGCTGGTAACCTTTTACGCCTCCTTTTCAAAACAAGTCGCAGCCATTTCTTACCAGATTGTTTCTTTCAATACTGGCATAAAGTTGCATAGAAATTTTACCATATAGTTCAATTTTATGCCCCTACGGCCATTTGCGGTAGTTAAGTCAATTAGGATGCAATCACACTGCTCATCCGAAGGCGAAAATACAGAAAAGGCAAAGTAAATTGTTAAATTCATCAATTCTAATGCCAATGCACTAGCGAAGTAAAGCACTGCGGTTTTACATAATTTTTTAGTAAGCTATTCGTACAAATAAAAATGATTCTTGCATTTAAACCTCTATTCCATATTAAGATTTAACTTGAAATTAATGTAGAATGAACTAATAACTAAATAACTTGAAATCAATGAGAGAATTAGATTTTTGTAACTTAGTTTACATGAGATGAGATCACTTGAAGTCACGTGATATGAACCGGCGATTCAGGATGCTGTAGCGTGAAAGCATAGTAAATTCTTAAATTAATTTTGTTTTACAAATTTTTATTGTCTTTATTTATTGCCTTTTTTATAAAATTTTAAATGATATTAAAATGTTTATGCCTTCAAAATAAAAAAATCCTTAACTAACATTTGTTAACATGTTTTATTGTGTATACCGTGTGTTGTCGCCAATAAAGTCTGCTTGGCAAGATTTGCTCCGGCGAAACGGAAAAGTACCAGTTTAACTCAAATGCATTGATTTCATAGAGGTATGCTACCAGCCTGAAATTATACCACAAATATTTTCATATGATTAGTAGTATAAAATCATTACCATTATTGGTATGATTCATAGCGCAGGTTGTACATCTTTAATCCAGTTTTCTGTGATTTAGTAATTTCCATGATTCAGCTCATTTTAAATTTGCTATCATTAGTTTGAATCTACTACCAAGAGAACACTTACTTAAAATCAATTCATATTGCAGCTGTCTGTTATGTGAGAAATTAACAAGAATGTAAACTCCTGTAATTTCTTATATGCGACTATGTTACAACCCTCATATATTAGCTAAGAGACCATGAAGTATAGAATATGATATCCTAGTGCTAAAGATATTAAGCATATATCTGTCTAGATTTATTCAAGTTGAAAAGATGGTGGGATACCACAGTATATATGTTGAGTGACTTGATGAGCCTTGCCGTAGGGAATATACTTGGAGGCTTTTTTTTCATAATCAATTTCTGTATTATTTTCTATTGCTCAGTAATCATTATGTTACCAAAGTTGCCATATCTAAGAGATATAGTCTGCATTAAATTCTTATCTGATCACTATGTGTATTGTACGTAAACTTCTTAAATTTGGCAAAATGTACTATTGTGACAATATGAGCAAACTTTTGACTACAAACACAAAAGATCTGAGTAGATGAATTTAAAATTATTTGTAAGATGTGTATTGAAGCTCTGTAAGATAATTGCTGTTCTATGCATTATTTATTTTGTGGTGTAATTTCAATAAGGCTGTGTTGAGTTTTGTAAAATTTATGAAGTAGCATTAAATATTTGCACTTATAATACTTGGACATATTTTAAAGAAGATTAGTAATATTTAATTGACTTTTTACTAAATGTGAAAAATTTTCTTCTTGCCGACTGGTCAAATTTCTTGTTTTTGCATAGATACTCTGATTTTAATTGTAAAAAAAAAAAAAAAAAAAAAAAAAAAAAAAAGAAAAAAAAAAAAAGAAAAAAAAAAAAAAAAAAACCTGTATTTGGTGTTATGGGGTTTTCTATATTTTACAATTTTTAATGTAAAATACAGAAACTACTATGTGTATTTTGCCCTGCCACAAAGTGAGAACTAAGTTGATTGAATTAAGAAATATATCTGTAATGAAATTCGAGGAAGTAAGTTTAAATAAAGTGCAGGTAAAATATATATATAATAGACTGTACAAAGAAGTCATGTGTTGTCCACATCAGATATTTTACAGCTGATGTTAATAACACTGATTTTGATTTAGATTTTGATGATTGCGATAATGAGAATGAAAGCTATGATCATGATTTATATATCAATTGTTATAAGGGTGTTCATATTTATAATGCTTTGTTGAATTGTTGATGATGATAAAAAAGTAAGAACTAATGTTAGTGAAATGCACTCATTATAGATGAAATTGCGTAAATTTATTATTATTATTAAATTATTGTTTCATCTCATTTTTATTAATCTGTATGATGATCTGTTCAGGCACAAAAGTGTTGATTTCTGAAAAATCAGTAAATACAGTGAAACAAAGTAAACTAATATTTAGATTCTCAGAAGGTATAAGATGTTTAATCTAAGTAACTTTATATGGTGAACAGGGACATTTATAGTCAGGATGTCTGAGTATGAGCTACTTAAATTTGGCAAAATCAAGCACATGTTCTCTTTCTCTAGCCACTGCATGTGTCTGTAAATGCCTTCACTTAGTCCTGAGTAAGCAAAGAATGTTAAGTGTGAACGGCAATATTCAAATTCCATGATTCAGTAAATGGTTTATTGAAATCGTTTTGGCAACCCCCATTGACTTCCTTCTTTGAATTTAAAAAAAATAGCAGTTAGCGAAATAAGTTTAGTTTTGAAAATGTTCTGAAGTTTAAATTTATGTGTTTAAGCAAAATAAGTGTTTAATGAGAACCATAGTAAAAATATTTTACATTATAAAATTGGAGTGAATAAACTATATTTTAAAAAAATATCTTTCGATTCAAACTTTGTTATATGAATGGATATTTTTCCCATGACAGATGAAGTCTGTAACAGCATGAGTAAACATGTTCAAAAGATTAGAACACATAGGTTTTGAATTAATTTTAAGATATGCATTGCAGTTCTTTGAGACAATTAGTGTTTTGTGTAATGTTATCTATTTTGCAATGCAGTTTAAATAAATATTGGTTGTATTGACCATTATTAATGATTCTTATATTGGAAAGCTGGACTGATGTTTATGTGTATAAAAATGAGTCATTTTCCAACTCAAACATAATTTTTTTTTGTCATTCCTGCTCTGCTGTAATTAAATAGCTTAATTCATAGGCATATACATAAATAGATACAAATTAGGCAGTAGCAAGAAGAATGCAAAAAAACCCCATTAAAAGCATTCCCTTATTTATTTATTTATTTTTTTTTTATTTTTTCTTCCCTCCTTTTACTCAAGCATAAAAATTAGTTGGAAAATAATTTTACTAGTGAATATTTCATTTCCCCCCCAAAAAAAAGGGATATGTGTTCTTATGAAATTCTCCTTATCAATTCTTATCTGCTATGTTTTTCCCATATTCTGATATTATCTTATATATATATATATTAATTAAAAATTTTTATTTAAAAATTACTTGTATGTTGCATAATTCTTAATGTGTGAGCATCTTCTAGTTAGTTAACTAAGTATAAACAATTCAGTAAGTTAGTGTAGAATTCTAATTCAGAGAATTAGAGTGAAAATTAAAAGAACAAAATAAAAACAAAATTTGGAAGTAATTACTCACAATCCACAAAATCCAATTATTTACAGTGCCCTTGGCCTTAAATTGTGCAGATTATCAGAATTCTACTTCTTTATTTATATATTATTCATATTATGAACTGAAGTAATTTTGATATTTATGTTTTCAAAATGTCTTAATTTTCTAAATAGCCATATTACAAATTAGATTTTGTTTCATTAATTTATATTTGTATTTTTTCTTTATAGGAATGGCGTCATGCTCATGGCATGCGTTGTTTAGGTATACCAAACACAGCACATTTTGCAAATGTTACACAGATTGAAGATGCTCTTGGATGTAAGTTTTACTCTTGTAGTATACTGTTTACTTACCTTTTTTAGTATTATTTATGTATTTTTTATAGATTGTATATAGTTTATATTTGATTTACATGCATAATTCCTGTCGGGAAGTTTTCAAATAGGCAAAGGTTTCTAAATTACTTTGGTTTTCTACTCTTTTTGCATTGGCAATTTACATTTAATTATTATTTTGATTCGTAGTCAATTCACTTTCTAAATTTCTCAAAATTCCTTTTTTTAAAATGTTTTAGTAATTCAATACATTTGATAAACTTTTGGTTTTGAATATTACTAAACCCATGCCTATATGGATGATGAAACATGAATTGAGTAATTGAAAAGTTAGGTTTGGAGGCAACTTCCCCTTGGTAAGATCTGTCTCCTGCCTGCTCAACAATTATTCACTAATGCAAATTAATTTAGTCTTAAATTTTTTTTTTTTTAAAAACAATTTTTAGGATTAATTTTTTGGAATTTTATATTTTTATTCTTGGTTTTAGATACTTGCACTTAATTTACTGTCAGAATTTAAATGATATTGTAAATTAGTTTGCAGCAATAATTAATTATTTATTTGTATGCAATTAAAATTTCATAATTTAAAATTTTAATTTTAATTATCTTTAAATTTGCTTTATACGAATATAATTAATTGAGATTTTTTTTAATCTAAGCTGTTTTATTAAACTGCATTAGGGTAGTTTTGAAGAAAAATTTATGAGTACTGCACTAAAATTTAGAATTTTGCTTTTTCTTTGATTACTGCTTTTAAAGTAACATTACATTTCTTAATATTTATGATACACAGAATGTTTCTTAAATTTTCAGTAATGCATAATTTTAGCTTGACAAATTTAAAAGCTATTCATTGTATGTGAAAAACAAATCAATGCATTTTAGAAAAAAGTAATTCATTATATCAAAATTTGCCATAAGCTAACATTTGTGTAATCGTTATTCCCTCTTGGTAAATGGACATCAGACAGTTACAAAAGTATCTCATTGTGTTGCTAAATAATGTATTACATTGTGCATTTATAATATAAATTATAGAAACAATCTGTTCAGAATATAAAAAACTAGAAACCCCAGTGGTCATATGAAATGACCGCTGTTCTAGATATTATAAATTATAATTAAAATGATTTGCGTTCAGTTGTAAACCATTTCAAAAACAGATCATTAAACAAATGTTCATGTTTCCCCTGACACGCTCAATTTGCGTTCAGTTGTAAACCATTTCAAAAACAGATTATTGCTAATGCAAACAAATGTTCACATTCCCCCTGACACGCTCATTATGCGTTCAGCTGAAAATTCAGTTTAAAATACAATGTCGGAATAAAATCGGGCAAATTTTTAAACTCTTTACACGAAAGGATATTTAGCATAAGAGTTTGGGTAAACCTACCTGGTGAGATGTACTATGCACAACTTGTTAGTTGCTTTCGCTTCCTTTAATTTCTCAACATTTGCAAGTTTCTAAGTAATTCATATCTAAATATAGTTAAATGCATAATAAGCAACAATTGTATTAATTAAAAATATTTAAATGTTCTTAAATACAATGATCATTTAATTAAAACAATGATAACTGCACGTATGGTATCAGTGTATATGGACTATTTGAATGACATGGCAACTTCACTCCATTGGCTAGTAAAGTTACACAAGCAACCAATAAATTATCGGCGACAAACAGACACTTAAGCCACATATAATAAAGATATCTTTTATCAATATCATCCAATAAATATTTTAGTGTAAGAATGTACAAAAAATAATAATGCTTTTAAAACTTTTACTTACACAAAAGAGGTATTTCAGATGAAATAAGTCAAAGTATCATCTTATCTTGCTTTCTGCTACTTCAGTTGTTATTTTCCAAAATGATACAATCTTTAAAAATGTTTAACAGTTTTGTTGTTGAATTATAAATGTAGCATAGTGGAGCTAAATATTCATAGTTGTCACTAGTTAGAAAATTGCAAAATGCTTGATGGAAGTAGAGAAATTTAAAGGCTTTTATATTTTCTTCTTGGATGTTCCACATGCTTGAGATAACTTATGCTTTAAATATACAAAATGACATTCTGATCCCATTTTTTGGCCATCTTTAAGTTATTAATTATAGATAAATATTAATTGCTGCATTGTATATTTCACACTGTCTGTAAGATAAATATCATTTGCATAATTGCTATTGAGGCAACCAAAATGAATATAGTGTGTGTGTATATATATTATATCTATTTCATATATATATATATATATATAGACATCTTCTGGTATGGTCCTTCCCCAAAACAGGATACTTAGATCTGCTGAAATTCGGCAACTGGTTTCTCGCGGACCATGATGACAATCAATTCCGTAGCGTGTCCGTTGCTCTGACGGTGAAATCATAAGATGTTTATCGGTGTTTCCTTCTGAGTTATTAAGCCTACTATGGCTGTGTTGGTGGTTTCGGCGAACTGGCCACTGGACTTCACGATGAGCTCTCTTTAACCCCTTAACGCATTTGCCCGTGTCTCACACGGGCGAAAGTTTCCGGCAAATTTGCACATGCCCGTGTCTCACACGGGCGCCCTTGTATCTCGCGTTATTTTATTTCTAATGCTTGTCTGAGATCCGTTCCAGTAAAATAATAGGCTAGATTATATTAAACTATTTTGACATAGATGGCACCACTATCAGCATTTTTCTTGTGTAAACCACGTGGCGCATTTTGATGATTAGCTATAAGTTTGCTAGGAATTCTTTGCTATAAAGTAGTCGTTTGGTGTGGAAAAGGTAATATATCCATTTTTATTACGTAAAATATAAAAATAAGCAGTTAACTGCACAAATTAACTTTTACTAAGCGTTTTTGTAATTGTTTGGAAAAAGTTATCTGATAATGAGCGGCTCTGACGATGATGATTTTGAATATGCCAATTTTATCAGACAATTTCAGCGATTAGAAGTGATGATTTCTTGAGTGAATGGAAGTGAATCGGAAGATAATGATGACGATATTTTGGATATAGCAAGAAAGAAACTGGTATCAAAATTAGTACAAATCAACCAAACGTTGCACCACCGAGATTTCGATTTGAAACTAACCCTGGCTGTTATGCATATATATGATTATGCATGAATATGATTATGCAAGAAAAAAATAGGCGATTTTTTTGACCGAAAATTAGAAATTAATGTGTGCCTTAAGGGCTTAAAATAGTGACAGAAATTTGAGCCGGTAGTTAGCTCTATCACAAGCATCTGATGAAGCGGCTTGCGGAAAAAAATCTCCTTCAATGTTTAACTCCAAAAGCTGGAGTTTAATTAGATTGGAAACCGATGAGAGCGAAAAAAATTCGTTGCAACATTTTCTCGTCTTTTACAGTCAGCTGGCCCAGAAGTTTGTGTCACAATTTCTCTTCTCTAACGAGTGTGCTAGCGTTTTAAATCGAAAAACTTCCACGTTCCTAAAAATTCCTCAAAGGAGATGAAAAAAATCTGCAACCACACCAAGATCAAAATTTTTTCTAATAACAATTCAACCTTTTAAATTTACATGCCGAAAAATATGCCAAGGCAAATAACCCTTTTCATGGGAGAATTCCCCTTCCGAAAATGGGTGGGAGGAAACATTCATCACCTGTCTAAAACCAACTCTGGAAGCTTAAAAACTGTGTTTCAAAGTGAGCAATTTGAAGTCGGGAAATCTGCGCCATTTCTGCTAAAAATATATGTATAATTATGAATAACTTCTCAAGCAATTAAACTAGGCGAAAACCTATAATTCCACCAGAAAGACACAAATTTTCTATACAAAAGTATATAAATTTCAATTAATTAAATTGAGAATTTCTATTTTTAAATTGAGATAATACTTGAAAATAAAGTCTCTTTAACACAGAATCAAACTCGAGACCTATTTTTAGTTTTCCAAAATTAACCACAGTTAAAAAAATAGACAAAATATAATTAAATTTACTTAAAAAAAAAAAAAAAATCTAACAAACACACAAGCTGATTACAAAACCTTAATTAATAATACTAATAAGGTGTGTAGCTGAAATTTAGGATACACTTTTGAGTAAATCATTTCTTAAAAAAATTGCATCTTTTCAACATCTTACCACCAGAGTCAGAAAATATTGATTCATAAAACTTTACCATTCAGAAGGGTAAACTTTAAACAAACTTAATAAATTAACACACCAATTTGTGTAACAAACGAAACTTTAAATTTTAAAAGTCAAAACTATCAGTACAAAAATAAAACCAAAGTAAATTTAAGTTCTAAACAAAATTAAAGTTAAACAACTTCACATTTAAAGATTAAAAAAAAAAAAAAAAAAAAAAAAAAAAAAAAAAATTAAAGCTTCCAAACTTAACCAAGCTACAGCTTACAAAACTTACAGCCATTACTTTAACCAAAAGCAAAAATAAATAAACTTCAATTACTGACAAACTGAATTAAGAAGCAAATAATGTATAACTTGAAAATAAGAAACAATTAGTACATAACAATGTACTTCATTCAGATCATTGGAACATAAAAGACAACAACTGTAATTGATGCGATTGTTGCTGAACATCCATTGAAGTTTTGCATATACTTGCTGAGGAAAAAAAAAAGGGGGGCATATACAAATGGAGCATTAATAAAAGAAGCAATGTTGGAATCTACAGACATACTTTTTGAGTATTTAAAATTTTTTTTTAAATGTTTCGCCCATTAATGTTATGCAGTAGTCAGGTAAAATTGTTACAAGGAGAATTAACAATGATAGGCCACTTAGAAATTCAATTGATAAAAGATACTAACAAATGTGTATTTTTTCCCATACATTTCAATGAATCAAGATATAACAAATACAGCACAACAGGCAGTAAGTGTCAAGATGGCCTTTGATGATTGTACTATAAATGAAAAGTTTCTAAAAATGCTAGCACTTAAAGAGGGCACATGAGAAAGGGATTTATTTAGTGCAATAAAAACGGTTTTGATTGATGTTAAATATCGATTGAGAACTTATCTATCTTCAATATCAACTGGTGGTGCGCAAGCCATGACAGGGAAGAATATTGGATTCATTGGGGCTGTATGCCAACAAGATACTTTTTTCCAAAATTTATTGCATATCACTGCATTATACACCAGCAATCATTGTGTGCAAAAATCTTTGAATTCCAAGATGTAATCGCTGTTGTGTTGTTGTTACTTATGCCCAGTTGTCTGACAGTAACATCTGTCAACTCAATGAAATTCCTCATTGCAAGAAATATAAGATGTGCCTGTCATTTGCAACAGCCTTGAGCACCTTACAGGTGACAGTTTAGCTCAGCCCCCCCCCTAATTTTGATGGAGAGCACCAAGGGAGGGATGGGTTCAAGGGTCACCCACCCCTCTCCCCTTCCAAACCACACGGAAGGACTTTCAGCTTGTCAGAGTGCCACCATGCCGCACCGACACTATACATTTACAAACATCTGTGCCTTCTTCGGGATTCGAATCTGGGCCCTTTGGCACTGCAGTTAGCAACGCTAACCACTGTACCAGTTGGGCAGCTAATCGCTGTTCTTACAAAAGTAATCAATTCAATAATGAAGACAAATGGATTGCAACATAAAACTATTTAAACTGTTTTCGGAAAATGATGAAGATACACAATGTACCAATCTTCTTTTGCACTCTGAGGGGTTTGTTGGCCGAACAAATGAAATATGCTTGAGTGATTACCAATTTATTGCCACAAATAAAAGTTTTAGCATTCCAAAGAAAAACCTGTTTGAAATGTAATGAGCTAAATTTTAAATTACAGGGCAGGAATAGTCACGCTGCTGATATGATCAGCTGTCAATAGTTTCAAGTCAATGTTAAAATTGTATAGGTCTCATCTCATAAGAAAATCGTTAACAGTTTTTCCCCCAGTACCAAAAAGAAATGGCAGAAAGTCTGAAACAGCATAATATTAATACAGACTCACATCTTCAAATGGTATCTGCATTGCAAACTAAATTTGATTCTAGATTTGTTGACTTTCTTTAAAATTCTTTGTAAATCCCTTTAAGAATGAAGAAACATGGCTACAGTTTTTAACTATTTTCGTTTTAACAATATGGGAACTTAGAAATAGTAAGCTTGAAAAATGATGTTATTTTAAAATCTTATGAAACTAATAAGATATTTTAGAGCTTGGTAAACAGAAATCAGTATCCTATTTTAAAGTCATGTGTGGTAAAGATTAATTCTTATTGCTCAAGTACTTGTAACAACTACGAGACGTTGTTTTCAGACATGACTTATTTGAAATCAAAGTACCATTCAAAATTTACTGATTCACACTTAGGTAATTGTTTAAGAGCATACAACTCAAATTTCATTGTCGATTATAATAAGTTAACAGACAAATTGCAAATTTTTGACATATCAAAAATTTTTTATTTAAAGAGTATAAATTATAAATATTTGTTATTTAATTAATTAAAGCTATATCTTTTAAACAAAATGAATTTGCAATATCATGTTTAAAGTTTGATTATAAAACTTGAATGGGTAGTGCCCTGTATGAATTTGAAATTTTATTTTATGCTTTCGGTGAAGAAAAGGTTGCCGACTCCTGCATTAAACCATGTACATTATAACAATACACAAATCCATCATCACTTAGACAGCACTGCACAAAAATACTTTTTCTTGATCTAATGTCGGATACCTTAGCTCCTTTTTCAAGCAAGCTTTTCTGATGCAGTCTTGATGCTAACAGCTTTAAGTTTATTTGGATAGTTCCAATTATCATGCCAAATCATTCATCTTGTGCTGTTGAAATCCCTTATGAATGGAATCATCTTCAATTTCAAAATATTTATTGCTAAGGTCAATATTCGATATTTACCAGAATTGTATTCCTGTTTTTCCAAAGAAGGTAATTCTTTGAAAACATGCACTGGGAGTTCAGCTGAGTGAGGCATTGAGCATATAGCTGATGGTAAACTAAGCTATTCTATTTAGATTTGTTTTTCTTGTTATATCCTGTCGTTTTTCACTATACAAAAATAACTATCGCTTGGGATATCTTTGGGCTATTGCCAGATAACAGGTATATATCAAATGGAATTTTAGCAAGTGTTCCCTTGCTAAAATTCCATTTGATATATACCTGTTGTCCATTTGATATATACCTGTTAATCCACATCCATAAACTCTTAACACCCTGCTTGCATACTTTGTGAAAGGCCTATGATTTATCTTGATCACCAATTTTCACTTTAAAATAGGCTTGCCTGGCAAATATACTGATATTTTTCCTTTGAAAATGATAAAACTGCCACATATATAACAAAACAGATTGAGGCTGTTTAAGCACTTGTAACACAAACTAGCAGAAGCAGACATAAGGAAAAGTTTCAGTTCATATATATGTGTATATATATATATATATATATAAAGCTAAATACAAGAACTCAGACTTCATATTGGAATGCACTTCACTATATCAGAGTGACACACTATGTCTCACTACAGTATCTCAGGCATAACTGAACTTATCTAGACAAATATATACTCACCGTCAGTTGGAGGGTTTATGTCAGCCGAGAGGAGAGCAGTAGTACTTCCTATGAACCATGCTTGATGCCGTGAAGAGTGGTCACATTCACAGAAGAGAAAAAAAGTTGACATGGTAGAAGAAAACTGTTTTTACAGTTTTGAAATTAGCATGCCTGTCTACAACAGCTCAAAAATCGAAGTCAACATAAATTATCTTACAAATTTTACCCAGTATAATAATATTGCATTTGAATCACTCATTTTTCAAGAAATGCAAATAAGACAGGGTCAAGATTTTTTATTTCATTCTGATTTTTACAAGAACAGCAGTAGATATATGAAATTCATTTATTCTTTAAGGTGCTATGGTTTTAGAATTATTTAAATCTGTGTCTGCCAAACATTTAACATTATTACAACCCTCCTATTTAAATTACAATTTATTTTAGTACACTTGCATGTAGTTGTTATAACGGGAGAAGAGGAAAAGAAAGGAAAAGTCTAAAAATAATGTGTTAAAATAGTTAATGATTACTATAGGAAAAATATTTAAATCAAATTTCTAATTTTAGTTTGCAATAGTCTCTCTATTTTAATTCGAGTAGTTCCTCTTTTTCTTATAAAATAGTAATTGCTTATAATAAATTGCTCTAAACTGTGTTATTTCAAAATTAATCCCTGTTGTATGATTTTTACATAATGCTAATGATGCTTCATAACTTGCATACTGCTTCAGCCAGTAACTTTTCAGATTTTGGAATCGAAACTTTTAACAACCATTGGAAAAATTGTGAACCAAAACAAAAGCATCTTGAACACATGACACTCGCTCTCAGTTTATCTTGCTAGCTATATTACTGCTTTTTTTTTAATAGCAACATTTTCAAAAATGTAAAATGTTCAAGAATGGTGTGCTTGCTACACTAGATTATATGTTAAAATTACATCTGTGTTGGTTTGGAAGTCTTTGTTGGCAAGAATGTAAAAATGTTGCAATCAAAACAACTTCTGACAACTATTACATTGCATAATTGCATGCTGTTAACATTCCAATTATTTCATATATATTTGTAGTATAAATAAAAAAAAAAAAAAAAAAAAAAAATTTTTTTTTTTTTTTTTTTTTTGAATCCCACTTTGGGAGCCACTATGTATAATGATTTTAAAAAAAATAATAGTTTCTTGGGGAATGTCTTCATTACATATTTATCTTTTGTGATGATTATCTATAAAAATGCATGAATTGTAGAATTTATCTAAATTTTAGAAATACTGTAGTATTAACATTATTGCCAAATAGTTTTTGTTGGAGAAATAGTATAGCAAATATGAAGAATAGATGATAGCACAAACTGTAAGGAAACCACAGGCAAAAAGAGACAGGGCAACCAAAAGTTGGTGCAAAACGCAGGCTAAGCAGTAGTGAATACCTTGTTGTTCTTATTAGTGAACATTATATGTTCTTGCTATAGTTTTGTTGTTGTTTTAATAAATAAAAAGTTAAAACAACAAAAGGTTATGAAGCCTAGAAAATTGAAAGCACTATAGATGCTACATACAACGTGCATCTAACATTAAGATGCATAAAAAATAGCAGTTATTTATGTTTATAGTATATTAGGTCCATCCATTTTTAACTAAATTACATTTAATATCATTCAATAATAAATTTTGTTATAATTATGCATCATTAAATTTTGTAGTAATTGCTAATATTAAAAATAAATTCATATTATGTATCAACTTAATCTCATAGTATCTCTTGGATTACATATATTTCTTATGTTCATCTACATTGTTCAGGTATTTGATGACATGTTTCAAAATTCAAAAAATTAAATTCTCTCCTGCAAAACAACAACAAAAAATCACTTTGCAAAATGAACAAAAATTTACTCGATATGAATTTATTTTATGCATTTGTATTACATTTTTTAAATTTTATTTCAGTGTGGCAAAAGCTGAAAGAACAAAAGCAAAAGGAGAGGTTTTTGCCTAGTAATGAGGTATACCAATACATATTTGTTTTAAAAAATAATTTTTAAAAACTATTTTAAATTAAATCTTTTATGCATTTTTAATTAAAATTTTGTTATACATTTAATTTTTACTATTTTGTTTTTAGGAGGAGTATGAAGATACTCAAGGAAATGTTGTAAACAAAAAAACATATGAAGATTTGAAACGACAAGGATTGTTGTAAATATTAATTTTTTGTTTCAGCAGAAAGTTTCCTATCATGTAATAAGATTTAAATAAACATGTCGAAGTTTTAATATTGAGCAGTTCCATTTATACTTTCACAATATTTAGTACACACTATTCTGTCCTGAATTTAATATATTAATAAAAAAATAATCAAATAATGAATTTTTTATAAGTTTAACAAAGCAGAATTTTTCTAAATAAATATAAAATTCAAATAATTCTCATAATACATTTATTTTTATAAAAGAAAATTCCAGTGAGCTACAAAATAAAGTTTTAGGAAACGTATACTGACTAGAAAACTGAGCACACTGCACCATCCTAATCACAATTTCACTTTGTAGTTAAATTTGCATTAAATATTTAATATATGAAAGCTCACAAAAATTATGTATATAAAGCATTTTGATTAAATTCATAACACTTTTACTCATTCAAAACATTTCTATAAATAGAAGATTTGGCACTGAAAAACACTCAGTTTTAAATGCTTTATAGGTTGGTTAATTGACTAAGGCAAAGCGCAAAGGTTATCTGTACACTTGCCTTAATAAGATATCATGTAAATTAAGCAACTTTGTCTTTTAATTAAATCTAATGTATCAATAATAGTTTGTATATTGAGTGGCGTAGAGATTGAAATGCTGAGCAATAGCTAGCAACAGATTTTTCACTTGTTAGGTTCAACGAGCATTTTGAAAAAATGAAATTTAATTTTTTAAATTGATTTTTTGCATATACACTTAATAATTGAAACACTACACTTAATATCTGCTCTTAATAACTGAAATCTTCAGTCTTTGTTTCATCATATACATCAGAGTTCCAAGTGTAATGAATTTCAAACCTGTAATATAATTTATTGATTTTCTGCAGTAATACATAACCAATTAATATGCTATGCATTGAGAAGTCAAAAATTTCAGCAATCAACTATACCATGGCTTAAAATTAAAGAAAATGATCATTTTATAGCAAAGCATGCAATATCCATGTATATCACAAATGAAATAGCAGTGTTTCAAATTCCTAAATTTTGTAGCTTTTTTAATTTTATATCTTCATTCTAGTGACATGTAGAAGAATTTTTAATTGCTAATGTGCCTGCACCTATTATGCTACACCTAAATTAAGTTCCAAATTTCTAGGTTTTATGGACTTCATGTTCTCCCAACATTAGGACATTGGATCTGATAATTATGTCATATGTCAGTTTTAAATTCCAACATTGGAAAATCCATGTTTCAAACCAACTTAAAATTGTCACCTATTTATTTTAGTTCTTGGGAGATTTTCTACAATTTTAGTTAGTACATGATATTGCTTACTGCATTACTATGCATATGTAAAATTTCTCTTCATTCAGGTATAGTAGTTTCTTCGTTTACATTTGCAGTGCTTTATATGTATTGAAAATATCCACAGAAGTGCCTTTTTTTTTTTTTTTTTCCCCCATGCAAAGAATGGGTATAATGCAGGTTATAAATAACACAAATTAAGAAAACATTTTGAATAAGTGATTGTGCCTATCTTTCTAACTTTTTGAAAGAATGATAGATATCAATTAGGCAGTTAAAGTTAAAACTCATTTAAATTCAAATTATTACACAAACAAAATTTTGTTATGCAATGCAAAAAGGATGATGCAGAAAAAATTTTAAATGGCAGTTTTTTGACATCACATTGATAACTAAAGAACAAAGTTTTACTCAGTAGTTTAATGTATACATTTTAATATTTCAGTATATGAATTATACATATAAAAATGATAGAAATGGTTTTTGTGATTTATGCACAAGTAGTCCTTATAATTAAAGTCAAACTTATATAATGAAAAATAAAAATTCTTTATATAAGTTAAATATGCCTAACTATTAATGGAATATTAAGCTCGAAGTGTGCATTAATTATGAAACTTCAGATATTTTCTAAATCTAATTCACATCCAGAAAATTTATGCAAAATTTTCCTGTTGCCCCAGACTTGCAGATTATTTTTGGATATGCACTTTATTCACTACTACAGAATAAGGGCTATTTTTAAAGATGGATAGGTTAAACATCAGTAATATTTTCTACAGAATGTACTGGAGGTATGTCAGTACAGGTAATTTGGCTTGATATATTTTAGTGCCTTAGAAAGCCCTAAAAATAAGGCATTTTTAATATTTTAGATTAAATATGAAGTAAAAAAAAGTACTTAACATTCTGAAAGTGTACAAATAAATTTAACATTTATTGAAATACCAATTATTAAATTATTCTAGTAATTGCAAATATAAACATATTTACTGTAATTTTCCCCAAAAGTCAATAGTATAGGTATCAACATAGCTTTGTGTTTATTTATGAAATGCTTAAAAATTAATTTTCTAATAAATACAGACTTATTTATTATTAACTTGTGTATGAATACAGTTAAAATTTAATTTTGTTGATGGAGATTATAAAACATTTCACATATTATGAAAACTAAATAATTCTGCACCAAGGTAGATATTACATGTCACATTAGAAACATCTTTAATTATTGCCACAAATGTTTAAAATTATATAAATGTATATGCATTATAAATTAAATATATTTTTTAATATTTAATTATTGTAAATTACATATATCAAAAAATAATTTAAATTGAGAACATTTTTGCTTTTAAACTGAAAAGTTTTAAGAAATTTTGGACTAATTAAATCTGAAAGGTAATTTTACAATCTTATGTTTTGTGGAATGGTAACACTTTGTCAGTCGGTCATTAGTCACTCACTGACTATGATCGGCTGATCATTTATTGAAAGTCTCTCGAAAAAATTAAACATTGGCTCAGGTAAAAGAAGCTTAACATATTAATGTTACGCCTCATTACTTTAATTTTTCAAAAGCTCATTAAATACTTTTTTATAAATATTTATCCTTTGTTTGTGTAGTTAGTCACTATATTTTTAAAGGATTTTCATGGCTTAGTTTCTGCCTTATTCAATGCACTCTCAAATTCATTAGTTTTCTGGTTTCAAGATAAATGAAAGCTATTTTTTTAATTTTGGAAAACTTTGCTTTTAGGACATGAAAAAAAAAAAATCTACATTAAATATAATTGATGAGAAGAGATGGCAAATCCATTTCTAAGAGACATAAGGGATCAGAAATTTTTATCTGGAGTTATCTCCATTTTAGATCAAAATTTTCATTTCCTGCAATTATATTTGGTGTTCCAAAACTTCGAGAAATGATTCTGTCATCACAATACATATAAATAATGCATTTTTAGAAATGTGTTTTGAAATTAAACCTTCAATATTTCTGAATATATATATATATATTTAAGGCTCTTATTTAAGATTCCATGTTCTTAATCTTAATGCTAGTGTTTCAACCATGCTTATAGTATACATTAGAGTCATAAAAAAAGACCAAACTGACCTTTTACATATCAATAAAAAATTCTCGGACAAAAGCATGGACAGCGATCTAAATAAAACCAGTGCTTAAGTTTAAAAAAAAAATTGCTTCAATTTATACCTTATAATCAGCAGATTTAAATGTATTGATATTATTCAAAAAACAGTCCACTAATGTCAGATTAGAAGTATTATAAATTAAAGGACTACTTGTACAAAAAGTTTTGTATCAATCATCATTACCAACATAATCAGTTTAGTATTAAAAAAAAAAAAAAAAAAGAAAACTCAAGAGTACACAAGCAAATTTAAAATGCTTTCTGCAATATTTTGCAACAATTTTACTAGAAAGTTTATAATATATTTGAAAAAATTTCATTAAATAGTCTTATTATATGTCATACATAATTATTGCATATGATAAATTTTTTGCTGAAGAGGTGTGTTAAATCTAGGAAAATACCAAGCTTTAACTAAACTCTCACTTTAAAGCTAATAATATGTGATTTGGAAATCTCAGATGCAATCCATTTTCAGGATTATATTTCCAAGTACTTTTCTATATGTAAAAAACATTGTCATACAGAAAAGTCCCAAATTTTTATATATAGGATATATGCTTAACAAATGGTTGATTTATTTAAGTAAGTTTTACATTTTTGATATATGCAGAATACAAACATTTTTAAAACTTATAAAAATATTTATGTGTGAAATTTACAACAAATTTTGAAATATATAAACAGTGTTACATATTTCATTAATAGTCACTAATTCAGAGGTCTAAATAACAAGCAAATTTAAATTGTATTTATGGGTTTAAATTATAAGCAGCAGCTATTGTTTTTATTTAAACTTGTATTAAATGTATAACAAGATCATTATACTGATTAAATAATGTCTAGTGGATAAAAATTAACTTTAAATACATGTTATGCCTAAGGTAATAAATATTTTTTTATGTATTTAATATTTAGAGTGCCTATTAAAAAATTGAGTGCATAATTATCAACAGTACTGTGATACTATTACTGTATTTGAATACATATTCAGCAGATGAGAAATAAAGCAAAAAAGAACTTACTGACATCAGCAATGATAGTGCTTAATACTTGCTAGAAGAGGAAAATTGTTTACTATATTTCAAGAACTCTATATATTTTCTGAGTAATTAATTCCATACCTAATGCAAAAACCTTGATTTTGTTTAATCATCAATTTTAAGAATATACTGAATTTTGAGCTGTAAATGTATTTCATCATTTTGTTCAAAAGCAGTTTAATAATAGACTATTTTCCATAGGAGATAATTTAGCAGAAAGAAACAAATGTAACATAAATGAAAATATTAATTAAATGTAATTGTAAGGTACAAAGTCCGTAATCCGGACTCTGGCGATTCCGGATTATAGATTATCAATTTAAATCTGGTAAGATGACATGCAGAAATTATACAATTAAAAATATGAAACCATAATTTATGAAATAAAGAGCAATTATGATCTAAAGGATATCAAAATTTACCAAAAAAAGCTTAATATTTATTTGTTTACTTTATTAAACATTTCTTTCAATTTAAGTTCTTTAAGTTGCTTCCACAAAAAATTCAAAAAGTTCCTTTTTATTTTTTCTTATGTCATATAGAGCTGACTTTCCAATGCCATACTCCTCGCATAATT